TGCCCGGGGGGCGGTAGTGATGTCATTTGCGCTTCTTTCTCTCGGCTCAATGTAGATGGGGAGATACCGCGGTGCAAAACTGTCATGTTGTCCGCATGTGCATGGGATTACGAGGTATTCCAGGGCATTGGCGAGGACAGGTGTACTTTCTGGCTTGATGACCCGACCGCTTACTCGTGCGTTCAGGTGTACGGTAGTACATACGCTCGAAAGATTTTTTCGCGTTTGATGGTGCAAAGCTAGGTCTTTTCTGTGCGCTATGAAGGATAGGCACAAGAAGGTTGATTGGGATGTTGTCGAGGTCTGTGTCTGCCTTGAATTTGTGGTATGTTTCATCAACAAGATGGATTTCAATACATTGGGAGCAGAAGGTGGTGATGGCGGTTTACCTCGCTCTCCCACCTCCCCATTGACCCTACCATCAGCCCGGACCCCTTCCATTCTCCTCCTCTCTGCCACTGACTCAATCCGAACCAACAACCCGCCGTGTGTTGCTTCACTTACACCGTTCTTTTCCCGACAGGAGGGAGAAGACGTCGGCGAGGACGCCGAAGCCGATGACGGCGAAGACGGTGACGGCGCCGCCGCCGCCGCCGCCGGAAAAGACGGCCCGCCCCCGCCACCGCCGGCACCCCCGGCCCCAGACACGCAGCTGTCCCTGGAGTGGGTGTACGGGTACTCCGCGGCTTCCTCTCGGGCTTCGGCGTGTTATTTTTCGGCGACGAACAGTAGCGATGCGTCAGGTGGTGGTGAAAGCGGCGTGGGCGTGGTGTATCCTGCGGGAAAAGTGGCCGTCGTGCTAGCCCAACCGCTGGACGAGGAGGAAGCGGAGGTGGAAGGTGTGAACCGGCCATTACCAGTGCTTGTGCTTGTGCACGTCTCTCTCTGTGCAGAGTCCTGCTACACCATGCCGAAAAAAACAACCAACAACGCAGGGAGTTGTTGTTGTTGTTGTTGTTGTTGTTGTTGTTGTTGTTGTTGTTGTTGTTGTTGTTGTTGTTGTTTCTCACATTCGCTCTATAGTCCACAAAAAA